TACTAAATAATCATTTCTACCTTTTGATTTTCTTTTCCAATATGATCCTTAGTCCGGTAAAATTCTCAATTTTACCTGACAATATATTAAAAATTCTCAATAATTAGGTTCTTACTTACAAATATTCGTTAATATAAAGTTAATGTGTTATTAAATTATCGTTTTATTAATATATTTGGACATGTGTAAGTATGCCACGTTATAAACATGTCCCTTGAAATAAATGAACTTTTTAATCGGTCGGTCAGATTTCATTGGTGGGTGGGTTGATTTACATGTAGCTTTCAAGTGATGTGTTTACCGGTTTAAACATAACAAAATAATCATTTAATTATTTATCAACATTGTGTTAACAATTTTTTGCAAATTTTTTGTTAAGTAAAGGACGCAATTAAGAATTTTTAATATACATTAAAGGTAATTTGAGAATACATCAGATCCTCTTGTATATATTTAGCCTAAATGAAATGTATCATGTTTTAGTCATTAATATATTGAAATATTAAAAAGATTTTTATAAGATGTCATACAAACCCATCATTCAGCTCATTAATTTTAACAGCCTTTTTTTTTCTTTTTTGACATGGGTGTTACTGAAAAATGTTAAAATTAAACAGGGACTCAGATTAAAATTTTTAAACAATAGATATTAAATTGATCGCGCAATATTAATTAAAGAAGACTATAATAATTAGGAATAATTAGAGAAGTGGATGGAAGGTGCAAGAGAGTTTATTATATTTTAGCAAGAATTTAGAGGTGGTCACAATATTAAGACAAAAAGAAGTTAGATGGATAAGTTAGAATAATAAAATAGAAAATAGTTTATAATATGGTATTGTATGAATGAATTGAAGAGGTGAATATGGGTATTGAAATATAAAGAAATAGGAATAATTAAGGTTGAGATGTAGGTGTATATATATATGGGATTGGTATGGAAATGGATTTACAAGAAAGCGAGCGATTACTATATATTAGAGAGTAGCTCCATTGTTTCCCTGTTGAATCCATCCATTGAAAATCTCTCAACCGAACCAACGATGACAAATTTTGTGAATGGTGGTTATTGGGTATTCAGCACGGTGGGGCAGCTTCCTCCCACTAAAATTGATGCTAAGCTTTACACTCATTTGTTCTGCCGATATGCAGGAATTGACTCTCGAAATTATGAAGTGATGATTTCTTTTGGAGAATATAACATAATCAATTCATTCTCTTCAGAGGTGAGAAAGAGCAACCCAAACGTGAAAACTCTGCTGTCTATTAGAGGAGGTAGAGAAGTATTCTCTGAGATGGCAAGAGATCCCTTAAATCGTGACGCATTCATCAAATCCTCGATCACGGCTGCAATTGCTGGTGAGTTCAATGGCCTGGATCTACGTTGGTTGTACCCATCTTCACAAGAAGATATGCAGAACTTTTAGATGTTGATTGGAGAGTGGCGCCGGGCCGCTGAGGATGATGCTAGAGACAACAACTGGACCCCATGGATCCTAGTGGCTTTGGTGTCGACCTTACCTTGTATTCAACTAAACGTTGAGTACCCAACCAAAGCAATCACACAAAACTTGGACTAGGTGAACCTCATTTGTTACGACTTTTACACCCCAACTTCCTCCCCTGGTTACACTGGACCATCTTCTGCACTCCTCAACTGCAGGGCCAACTCCTTGTCCACCAATTTTGGGATCGAGTCCTGGATTCAAAGAAGCTTTGGTAATATTCCTCCTAACAAGATTGTGTTTGGAATTCCTTTCCACGGGTGGGCCTGGAACCTCACCGATCCTCTCGAGCACGACGTGTTTTCCAAGGCCAATGGCCCAGCTGCTGCGTCCACCATCGGAAAATATGAAATTTCCCTGGATGGTAAAATTGACTACTACGACGTCCAGAACTTCATACATGAGACTCGAGCTGAAGTTGTCCCAAATGACAACAGATTTGGGATATCCTACGCCTTTGTCGATACCACCTGGATTGGCTACGAAAGTGAATACACTATTCCTATGAAAATTGCATTGGCAAAGTCAAAGAATGTGCTGGGTTACTTTGGCTCCAACATTGCTGCCGACGACCAACACAACACTCTCGCTAGAGCTGCCAAATCCAATTGGGCCAATTCTTAATCAGTAAAGTATATAATTTCCAAGCATGCTCCACCTGTGTGTTCTTGTAATTTGATGATGGTTCTTGGCACACTATTAATTAATTGTCTCCCCTTTCTCAATTACTACTGTATTTCCAATAATAAAGTTTCTAGCTGATGATATATATATATATGGTGTAATGTTGTTCTGTGTTTCTCTCTTTCTTTCTCCTCTCCTAATATTCTACATATTTACACTCTCCTTCTCTTAATTACATTTATTTCACGCTTACTTAACTAATTCCATATACAAATGGTCGATTTGTAGGATTTGTAAGGTGCATACAAACAGAGTTCCACATTGACAGAGGAAGATAGCATGATTCGTGGTATATCTTCGAAGATACCGTTATCCTTGACACCATTCAATGGTATGAGGTCTTTCGAGTGAAATCAAAAGCAAAGTCGTGAGGGCTATGGAGATACCGTTATCCTTGACAGAGATTTTATTTAGAAATCAGTAACAAAGTGCAAATATATTGCTAAAGAAAATCCCTACAAGTTTGAATTATTAATTAATAGAATCAAGGCAATCATGTGTCCCTTGTTCATGGATAAAAATCTCAAAAAGTATACGACGAGAAAAGAAGAAGAGTTGACATTGTCTTGGTAGGTGCTTTGTCTTGGATGGATAACTCCGAGCTTCCATTATTCTCCACATCACGTAGCTATTTTTTATCCCCAATAATAAATATTAATTGCTTTAGAAAAAGCCTTAAACCTTAAACCAACTCTTGTCTATGTAACGGTTAAAATGTCATTTTAGTCCCGTACTTTAAAATTCATTCCATTTTATCGCATGTAGTTTCAATTTTCCAAATTTAATTCTTATAAAATCAGTCCTTACAAGGTTGGTCCAAGGTAAGTTTTATCTAGATTAACGAAATAAAAAGAATAATTTTTTATTGGAAAAAATATAGCGTTTGAATGTGTTTCTAAAATTTACTTAGGAATATACTAATAGAGACTAAATATTATAAATTAATAGTAGAGATTAATTGTCAACTTAAACTTATTTCAATTTATTAAGACACTTATCTTCGATCTTTAGATCGTGAGTCCGAAAAGGGTGAAAATGGTATTTTAACATTCTATTTTTTTTTTTTTAAGAAAACTATTTGACGAAGTCGGTGTATAGATTGGAAAGAAGAAGGGAAAAATAAGAAAAAGAAGGCGCCGGCGCGAGACCGGCGACCAATGCTGGGCGCGTTCGTACACGCGCCTATTATTTGTTTTCTCTCTGCTCCTCCTCCTCCGTCCTCTGCACCAAATCGCAACTTCTATCGCTTCTCTGTTATGGCTATTTTTGCTCGAATTGCAGTCGTGGGCGACGTTGTAAGCTTCATTCTCTCTCTCTTCAACTGTAGATTTTGATCATTCGAGCTCGTTTTTAAGTAGTAGAACTCGTCCCTTGGTTAATGCACTCCTATTAAGGGAAATGATTGAAAAATTTTGTATCTCATGAATTTTTTTCCGGTAAATTACGATTATCTTTCTAGCATGGCCATTGGGATTTACGAGAAGATTCGAGGGCACTTCAGCTATTGCTGGTATTTATTCATATATGTGTTTGATTGAGTTTTGTAATGTCATGAATTGATATTGCCCTTTGTTTTAGAGGTCTGTATTGGCACCATTACCTCCTATGAATTGGGGTCTGAGTGAAACCTATTCTCTTTGTTTCTCAATCAATTAAGAAATTATACTACTTTCGTTTGGTTGTTTTGGGTCGAGACTTGAGAGTAATTATGCTGCTGAATCTGAATCGTTTTTCTTTATTAATCTGTAATTTATAATTTGTACAACTGAAGCTAATGAGATGAATTTGAAACGATATATGATGATGAACTTTCAACATAAATATATACTTTTTAACATTTATAGTGTTCGTGTCAACTTGCACACACATTATGACTAATCTCATATGATAATTGTTTGAATTTACCATATTTGACATTAGAAACTGAGGCCCTTAATAGTATTGGTGGCTGGTTTCTACCAAGACTTCTAAATCATATAATTGCTTGCTTGTTTGAAAATCCCTTCCCACTGAAAGAACTTTGAAGACTACTCAGATGGAAATCTCTGGATTCTGACTGCCTACCGAAGCAATCGGACTGAAAATTGAATAATTATGTTTTATTGGTCTTTAAAAGGGTGAGATCATAGCCGCTTACAAGAGTGTTATGCATGTTGGAAGTTGGAAGTGTCCTTGTGTCAAGTGAGACCCATCAACGCTTCAATGTTGCTTTAAGTATACATGTTTTTATGTTCCTAGAAACTCAGATTCCAGATTATCAAATAAATTGGATGATATTTTAAATCCATGCTTTTTGTTCTTGGAGGATCTATATAGTAATGCTGGTTTAGATGTAATTTTCCGAACTCCTGAAAACCTTAAGGATCAACTGCCTCAAGAGCTAGCCCTAGCTATTCCCTTAGATCTCCCAATCCTAAACTTTTTTTCTTCTTGCATTTCAGTTTACTTCAATTTTTTTTTCCTATTCGAGTCTGCTTCAATGTTTTTCTTTTTCCTTTCCATTCTAATGTTGGTTTTTGTCTTAATGCAGCCAGATTTAGTGCTCTTTACAGGCAGGTTCTTCTCTCTCTCTCTCCCTCTTTTTATCTTGTGTTTCCATGTTTCATGCCTTCCCCCTCTGAGTGTTGCATACTTTGCCCATTCTTACTGGTGGCTAAGTAATGATAATAACAGTAATAAAAGATTTTTTTTGCTCCATACTTTGTTAAAAACTCTTTTAGATTCTTTCTGACGCATGGTTCACATGTATTTCAAATTTAGGATATTGGATCCTATGCCGTCTAAAAGAACGCACATATCTGCTTTCGTATGATTCCAATTTCCACGTTTTTTCTCATTTCGTATCATCTTCTTCCACCATCTTGGTTCTCTTCAGGTGATTTTGGTGAAGAGAATGTTGAATTGGTCCGAAGTATTGCAGATCTTAAATTTGAAAAGGCAGCTATATTGGGAAACCATGATGCTTGGTTTACGCCATGTTTTTCTCAAGGGTATGTTTGCATCCAGTGCTTTTACAGCTATGTCCCTTTTATTATAAGTTATTATTTTCGTTAAGTCAAACATTTTTTGTTACAATTAAAACATTGGGAAATGAAGCATTCCGAGATCTGATTCCAATATCTGCATGAAGAGTAATGCTCTGTCCAGATGTGTGCTTGTGAGAGATGAGGTTGATGCATACGCTCCATGTAGCATTTCTGTTTAATGTTCTAGATGTGTGATGTCTAGCTACTTCATTAACTCCTGATTTAAATGTGAATTTCAGGGAGAAGGATGGTGTTCAACTTCAGTTAGAATGGTGAGCCTATTTCTAAAAAATAATTTTTCTAATGGCATGGATTGATGGGTTTTTACTGTCAGAAGTCTGCCTAAGAAGGTTAACATAGTTACTATCCAGTTGGCGAATTGCTAGAGCTGTATTTCTTTGGCCTAATATTTTATTGTTCCGAGTATGTAGGGAAATAAAAACAAGGTCGTTGAAAGTTGAAGCCTGGTTGAAAATCATTTTCTCAAAGAGTTGCGAGACGAATACAACTTGCAACTTGGATCAGTATCAAGTATTATGAGGGAAAAAAAATATAATTAGAAGGCTCGCTAAAATACTCACAGTTAGTTATAGGAGTTTTTTCTATTCACTTGGAGTTGTTGGCTTTTTTGTTGGTTTATAATTCTAGTTGATTGTGATGTGGAAGCCAAGTCATTAAAAATATTCATAATATATACTCTGGTAAATGTGTGCATGTCCTACGACTGCAGTAGTGCTTGTTAGACTACAAGCAGTCAAGCACAAGGGGAAAATGTGCTTCTCTCTGTAATTGTCTTTTTTTCGACACGTTAATTACATGATTAGTTTTCATGGGGTGGTTAATGATGAAAATTCTTATTCTCTGTCAACAGTCTTGGCAAAAATCATGTTGCTTACCGACGTGTGGACTTTCCTCAGCAAAAACTAAGCATTGTTGGTGGACGACCTTTTTCTCATGGTGGACCGGGGTTGTTTCGGAGACAGCTTCTTTCAGCGAGGTACTTAGACCACCGTTGATAACTTGTCGGATTACTCTTTCTTCATAGAGCATTAGCTGATTTATGATAATTGCCCATAGAGCTACCCTATCATCACACTACTCGCCTCTTCATCGGTTGTGAACAAGTTTGAACTCTTAATGCTATCTGAAAATTGGATTTTCTTCTTAGATATGGTGTCAAAGACATGAAAACAAGTGCCAAGAAAATATACGAAGCTGCGATAGGCACGCCTGAAGATCATTTGGTTATATTTCTTGCACATAATGGCCCTACAGGTGGGCTTATCTGCCCAAAGTCGATTAAAATTCTGTTTCAGATACGTTCGTCTATTGCTCTTATTAACTTGACGATTTCTTGGTTCTTGTTTTGCAGGCCTTGGTTCTTGTATAAATGACATCTGTGGAAAAGATTGGGTATTTGGGGGTGGAGACAATGGTGATGAAGGTAAAAATCCTAATAATCCCCTCTATGGTTTTCCTTTCTCTCTTTCTTTTTTTCCCCTTCAGGGTAACTACTTTCATTTCCATTAATTAAAGATTAAGGTCCACAGAGATGCCAGAGTATACTTTATAGCCTAATTTCTCTTGTCTTAAGAATTTTCTCTTCCATTCTAATTGCCCGAAGAGCCACCATTTATACCAGTTGACACTAACTTTATCATACCAATGTATGTTCTGAAATAGCAAATGCTGTGATATAGATCTAGCACAAGCCATATCTCACTTGAAAGAGACCGGAAAGTTTCATGTCCCTCCTCTGGTTGTGTTCGGGCATATGCACAAAGAACTCGCATATGGACACGGTCGTCGTAAAATGACAGTCGTTGCAGCCGACAACACCATTTACCTTAACGGAGCTGTCGTTCCGAGGGTTGATAGTTACTCCAGGAAAGAAGCCGATGGAGGAGGAAACTTAACGAGCAGTGCAACCTCCTCTTCCAAACCCGTTTCGAGAGGCACCAAGCGGGCATTCACTGTAATTGACATTTCAAATGGAAAGGTGGACAAGATTAGTGAAAGTTGGATCTCTGTTGTTGGGGATGAGGCATGCTTGGATGAAGAGCATGTGATGTACAAAAGTGGCCATTAGCTTCCTCCAAATTGGGATTGAGGTTTCAGCATAAAGATTCTCACTTGGAATTTTGAAGCAGAAATGGAACATTTTATAAATTATGAAATCTGGCTTCACAAACAGGTACATCCATCAAAATTTTAACTTGGGATGTAAATGTAAATTGTTGTTTATATGAATTTACTCTCCTGCTAACTTTATATTCTTCCTTAAAAGTACCTCATTTTTAAGCTAAGCAATGTACTGCAAAGTGCAAATTGATAATTTGCAAACCAACCATTTTTTTTCCAGAAATATTTGCTTCAGGAGTAGTTCTTTTTTTTTTTGGTTAAATTACCAAAAATATCACTAAATTTTGCTTTTGGTTTAAAAGTTCTTGTATCCTTGCAAAATTTTTAAGACTACCTTTCACTTTTCGTAAATATTTCAAAAAAAATTTTTGAGCAAACATTCTTTAATATTTTGAGTGGAAAGTTTTTATGTTGCAAGATTTGGAATGATATGGCAATTGATGTGAAAGAAGTCATCATTTTTAAAGTCTCCTCAGTCTATTTTTCTCTTCACGTCAACTTTTCCTTAAAACATTAATGGATGTTGTCGCTTTAGTAACAAATATTTTTATAGTGATAGGAGTATTTTTTAAACAAATAGTAAAGTTTAAGGGTATTTCTTAAAAAAAATTAGCCAAAAATTAAATCAAAATAAAAACTTTTTTAGAATGATTTTACAAAGAGCTCATTCTATTTCTAGTTATGCCTCCACAGTTGGCATTTCCATCAAGTCAATACTGGAGATAGTAACGTTGCCGATTTGTCGTCCCAAATAAAAACGTACGGCCAGAAATTCTGATATCCTGCGGTCGACATGTCGTTCTTGCTTGAAAGTTGAAGGCTGCGTTCCTTTTGGTACGGTTTCTCTTTCTCGTGGGACCCACTGGAGATTGAGGAGTGGGCCCAGTTGCAGGGAAAGATGTGTCTCACTCCCACAGGAGATTGCTGCTCTTTGATGTTCCACCATTAAATCAAAAAATTAAATGCCGTAGGTTAAAATACATTTTTGTCCTATGCTTTAAATATTTGTTTCAATTTTCCCTAAAAAAAAAAGTATATATTTGTTTCAATTTCGTGTATTATTATTGTTCCTATCATTTCATTCGTGATGAGTAATAAAACTTTATGGAGGCAACAAATGAGTGGTATTTTTGTTAGTTCAGTAATATATTTAACCTAATTTAAATAATTAGTGTCCATAATTTACTCATCAACTTAACATTTTGGGTTGAGTGGTGGTTTATTCTTCCTTTAACATAGTATTAAAGTGGGAGGTCCAACAAATAAAAAAATTGATTCTCTACTTGAAGTTAAAAATCAAATTTGTTGCAAACTTAAGCTTAACTCAACTCGTTTAAGCATCTATCTTCGACCTAGTGAATTTGAATTTGTATTAAAAAAAATCAAATTTGTTAACATTGGGTTCAAATGTGGAATGGTCTAGTCTCCAAGTCATAAATGAAATATAAAGAACAGAAAAGGAAACTATTGCGTGAAGGACTCTTAACTCCAAGTAATGTAAAACTTTAAAAAGTTTCTTGGTGTGTGCATTTTCAAACATTAATGTCTAAAAAGATGGGACGCAGGGGAGGCAAACGTGCACTTGAGATGCACAAGATCATAACTTTTTCAAAGGGCCTCCAATAATATAGAGCCTTTGAAGGGGACTTTTTCCATAAAAAACAGGGTGAGAGGAAACCGAAGGCTGCAGTCTGCAAAAGAATGACATAAAAAGGAAACAAAGCACTGATATTCATGCCCCCATTTGACATTTTCGCATAAAAAATACTTGCTTTTCTTGTCTTGTGTGCAAGAAAATTTGGTAAAAACAAATACCCACAAGAGGGAGGAGAAGAAGAAGAAGAAGAAGAAAAGAGGGTGGAATTTCAGTTTTGTTTGTTTGGTCAGACATTGATTCTTCATCATTGCCCTTTTCATTTATTTGCTTTTATCGCATTCGAAATTGTGGGGTTTTCTTTTTCTGACCCTTTTCATTTGGTGCCGTTTTTTTCTTGTGGGTCGTTGGTTTTCAGGCTCGCCATGACTGTGGAGGACAAAAGGGCTAATTTGGGGGGTGCAAATGGGGACGTGGACCAGTTCCCAATTGGTATGAGTATTCTTGCTGTTGACGATGACCCCATTTGCCTCAAAGTCTTGGAGAATCTGCTTCGTAAATGTCAATATCGCGGTAAGTTTTGGTTGGACATATGGTTTTTTTCCCCCTTCTTTCTCCTCTTTGTTTATTGGATATTTCTGCCGTTCAATTGTTTGATGGTTTTCACTTTGTTCAAATATTGTGTTGTTTTCCCAAATATTGGTCCATCGTTGTCATGTTTGGTCCCTCATTTTGTGAATCTTTTATAGAATTGTATGTTTTCTAAACACTCCTTCTGGGTGTTGTTTTTTTTTTTTTTTAATATTTCAATCATAGAAGTATTTACCTGTCTGGAAATAGTAAGTTCAAGTTCAAACTTACCTGATTTTGATGGATACTTTGTGGTGTCTTGAGGAGTTAATTGTGAATTTGTAATCATTTCAAGAGTAGTGTTTCTAAATGGACCACTTTTTCTAGGAGAAGTACTAATTATGTGCTTTTTCTAAAACGCACTTTAAAGTGCTATTTTTAGAATCTTTAAGATTAGTTTTTACTGTATGCCCAATACCATGAAGTTTTGAAAATTACTTTTGAATAGTTAATAGCACTTTTCACCTCTTCAAATGTCTTGTCAAACTCACCCTTAATCTAAGGATAACTTATCGACTTCGACATTGTTATGCATTCTAGCTTATGTTTATTTCCATTGCAGTTACATCGACCAATCAGGCAGCTGAGGCGCTTAAAATGTTGAGGAAGAACAGGAACAAGTTTGACCTGGTTATCAGTGACGTAAACATGCCAGACATGGATGGTTTTAAGCTCCTTGAGCTAGTAGGCCTTGAAATGGACCTTCCTGTTATCAGTGAGAATGAACCCTTCTCCTCTTTGACATTTTAGGCCACATTTGATAACCATTTTGTTTTTAAAAAATTAAGTTTATAAACACTATTTTCACTTATGTTTTTTTTTTCTGATATCTTACTTTCTTAAAAAACTAGTTTTAATTTTTTTTTCTTTTTCTAATTTGGTTAAGAATTCAAATATGATTATAAGAAAGGTGAAAAACATAGTGAAGAAGCAAGTATAATTTTCAAAAATAGAAAACTAAAAACGAAATCATTATCAAACGGAACAATAGTTGATCATTTCTTTCTTACACTATCTGGGTCTTAACGACATTATTCAGGTTTTGATGTGTTACATGTGTATATATATTTACTTATTTGATGTTTTTATGTTATGATTTAGTTTAAGTTGAAGACCTCTGAAATTGATTGATGAGTTGGTTTTGATTTCACTTCTCTGTTAAAATATGGTTCTAGTGATGTCTGCGCATAGCGATTTCGAACTTGTAGCAAAGGGAGTTACTCACGGTGCTTGTGACTATTTGCTGAAACCTGTTCGAATTGAGGAGCTGAAGAACATATGGCAACACGTATTTCGGAGAGACAAGTTCAGTGCTAAGAACCAAAATAAGTGCACCAATGGTAATAAGGCTTCTTGTCAAACTGTTGAAGTTGCCAAAGGTTTCCCATCTGTGGTCGGTGCTGGTAATGGGAAACCTGGTAAGAGGCGGAAAGACCAAGACGACAATGAGGAAGGGGGTGAGGAAGAGAATTCTTATGAGAATGATGACTCCACCCAGAAAAAGCCAAGGGTAGATTGGAATGGTGAGTTACACAGGAAGTTTATTGCAGCTGTTAACCATTTGGGCATTGAAAGTAAGTCTTTTTGGTGTTTCTATCATATCGTCTCCCTTGAAATTATTATGTCTTGAACTTTGTTTTCTCTTCTTGATGTTTAAATAAATTTATAATGCAGAGGCTGTACCTAAGAAGATCCTTGATCTGATGAATGTTGAAGGACTTACAAGAGAAAATGTGGCTAGCCATCTTCAGGCATTGATTCTTTCCTTTTCTTTTGAAAATAACTTTAATAACATTGCACTTTAAACCACCATGATTTATTTATGGACTTGTGAGATCAGTAACTTGTATTATTTATTGAGTTGGTAACTTGGTATTAGGTGAGTGAGGGGACTGTTTGAATTCCAAAAGTAAGGTAAAAGTATTGAAAACCATTTAGAAACCCATATTAACTACCCATTAACTGCATGGTAAGTTTTTCAAATTCCACTTATAGGTTGAAGGTTTTTTTGTATAGCTGTGGCAGCCATGATTTGAATGGACATTGCATACGCATCACTTGATTGAGTTGCAAATAGCTCTACTTTGAAATGACATGTTGCAAATGTCTAATAACCAAATAGTAATATTTGCTTTCTTTTCTGTTTTTCTTTTTGTTCTGTTTAACTATTAATTTTCTGTGGGGGGATGGCGAATAGCTCTACTCCGGATGCCAAGAAAATATTGGTATAATGGCTGCCCTAACTTGCACTTTCTCGTGCTGCGCTGCAGAAATACAGACAATACCTTAAAAAAATGTGTACTCGGGAAGCTCAGCAACATAACATGATGGCTGCATTTGGAGGTAAAGACACCTCCTTCAGGCCGCCCATGGCTTCACTTAATGGATTTTCAATGACTGGAACAAGAAGGCTTTCAAACACGACATTCTCGTCGTATCCCTCAGGAGAAATAGTCGGTAGATTAAATTCTACTGCTGGATTGAGCTTACATGGAATTGCTTCCTCTGGAATGATCCAACAAGGTACTTTCCATAACTCAAGTAGCTTACTAGATACATTTGGGAAACTCTATCCAGCTCTGTTCCTTTCAAACCGACCCCCAAGCATATTCGACGGTATTTCAACATCATCGGATTGCATCCAGCCACTTCAGGACAGACACACCATGCAGTTTAAAGATTTTAATTTGATAAATGATGCCTCGAGTTTTACTGTTTCCACCAGCTGCCCTGATGCTAGAGTGACTGTTGGTAGTTCGAGCAATTATGACTTGGGTATTTCGAGTCATCCGTCAATGTTACAAGGACATAAGCAACAGATTCATGGTAGCGGAGAACTTGGAGATCAGTCTCCTCTTAATGTATCTCTAATCAATCCAGAATCCTTAGACCGCAGCACCGGCCTTTCTAACATTTTGTGCCATGGTCAGTCTAACAGAAACTGGCAGGGTTCAATCCAGTTATCTAAACTTGCATCAAATTTCTCCCTCACTGGAATTTACCCTCCTGATGGAATGCCCACCATTAATTTGACAATTTCTTCGACTCAGCCCGATAATGACAACTTTCCTGTTGGTTTTCCTTCAACAAGTGTGGATTCAAGTTCTCAGCTTGATTTAAGAGGGGAAACACAATGCTATGAGGAGTTAATTGGTAGTGTTGTTGAAACCATGAATGGAAGACCAGAGCAACAGTGGGAAGTAGCTAAACAGGATTATAATAGCAACCATAGTTCTAGTGTGAGAAAGTCTCTGGTCTCTGTTGACGGTATTGCAGATCCCTTGAGACAGAGCACGGATCAGAAGAAGTATCGAAAAATCGGTAGCTCTTTTACTAACCAATTGGATACTGGTGCTCCATCCTTCATTCAGCACAGTGCGGAGATATCTGCGATCGACACTTGGATGAACTATGATGGAAAAATTCTCATGGATCCAACAAAGCTACAAAATGGATTTAAAAATGCTAGTTTTAATTCCTTGGAGGAATTGGTGAATGCTATGTCGAAACAGGTATCGTCAAATATCCTACTTAATCTATGGCATTTCCCTCTTTCCGTAAATTTATTCTCAAAGTTTATATTCTGATTTCTTGATCAATATTCCATTCTGTTTTGAGATGCATAGCTCCCCCTCCATGTAGCTGATAGACCCCTGTAGTTAAAAAGTGTATAGACGCGACGTTCAAATGTAACTAGTTTGTTAGATTGGCAGGAATAGTATGTGGTTAGAGAGTATTTAGATGATGGATTCGTTGAAGTCGTAGTTGGTTTTCAAGAGGGTTAGGGAGCTCTCCGATTCTTCTTCAGCCATGTGTTTCTTAGTGTGAATAAATAAACGAGTTCTATCTGATTTTCATCGCTCATGGAGTTCATTAAGAGTTCGGTATACGTGATGCAGGAACAAGATCAATCTATTCAAATGAACGACGAATTTGGTTTTGATGCTCAATCTCTCGGGTCATCGTGTATATGATACTTCAGTTGCTGCTGAGCTGACTCTTAGATTGCTGAATGGAAATGACTTTACAACTGACTCCCAACACTGTATCTTCATCTTTGTTTGATGATGTAGTTCTCTTATCATTAATCTATTTTCCTTTCTGCAACAAGAAGTTTTTCCTCTGCCTGGTTGCTTTGTTGCTAGAATAATGACAGGAGAACTCACTCAATTCTTCTATATATGAAACCCTCTTCCATTTCGATTAATAAAAAGTTCGTTCTGTTTGCAATCTACTTGTCGACTCAATGAAATATCGCACCGTGCCAACTTGTCGAGTTGACTTGGCGAATACCGTGTCTAATTATGCAGATTGATAGTTGGAATTGGAATGTTCATGTAGTTTATTCAAATTCACTGAACCTTTATGATAATGCAAAATTTATGCAGGTCTTGTAATGTTTTGTCAGTATAGAATAATGGAACAAACTTGGGAAAACCTTAGAATGATCATATTCTGGAATTGTTTGTTTCTGTAGAATTACATTTTGAAAGTTTGTTAATTGAAGTCTAGCAAAATGATATTGAATTATTATTTTTTATCTAATGTATGATATTGAAATCTAGAAGTTAATTACTTCAAGAACATATTTTTAGCCAGTCCAACTAATAAAGAAACCTCAAGGATTTTAAATATATAGCTTTTACCATGTAACTTTTCCAAGTTGAAAGATGAAAAATACCCACTTTTCTGCAAATCAAATAGAAAGCTGAAAATTCCCAATATGCAAAAGTGACCCCCAATTTTACTAACATCACTTACCAGGGAATCAACCCGGTGCCAAAACTGAGAACATAGTTTTTTCGGTGTGGGAACACGTTACACGATCTATTCGGGCTCGTGAACTGATCAGAAATGCCTAGATAACAAGTCACACCATTACGGTTGAGGAGAAGATAATCTTATATATATAGCAAATGCAGAAGAGTGGGATCTATAACATTGTAATGTATGAATTACGATGTAGAATTTGACAGGTTTCCAGGAACAGTGCAACACAATTAATGGAGGAAAAGAGAGAACATTATGCCTTGAGAAATCGACGAACCAAGCACTTTGCTTGCCTTCTTCTATTGATCTCGTGGGTAGATTGACTCGACAACTAGTTGAGCTAAGAGATTGGCCTGCAAGAGTTATAGATTTATTCCCCTTCCCAACCCATTTGGCGGGCTCGCCGCTCCCACAATGATGTTAGCTTTCTCTCCTTGATCATCAATGCCTCGGCACGTTCTCGGGCCTCTTCACAAGTTTCTGTTGCAGCAATGCATTTCTCAGCCTCCCTCTGATACTGAGAAGCTGCCCTTTTTGCCTCAAATAAAGTGATGTTCATATGCCGAGTATGTTCACCAGAAACTGCTTCTTGAAGCTTCAATTCCTCTGTCAAAAGGTCCACAAATTGCTTTTCCATCTCATGCTTGAGATCTGGGTCATTACTCCCACAGTCTGTATCGAAGAAAGATAAGGAAAGTATAAAGCAAATGTTACAAGTTATAACAGTTTAAATAACTGCAACACTTTCTTGTAGCAGAGTTTGTAAATAACAGAATTATCAAAAATCATGCTTAGGCAAAATATTAAAATAAGTTCCAAGTTTGAGAAAGATAAGTTCCAACTCTCAAATTCCAAACAGTTTCTAGATAGGCATTCACTATTCTGAAGGGAAAAATTATAAACTATAGTTGAGAATAGATTTTTATTTCGTCTCTATATTTTCCAAAATTGACAATTTATGACCCGTTTGGTAACGTTTTTATTTCTTGTTTCTCACTTCCAAATTTTCTCTAAAAACCTAAGTATTTTACAACTAATTATGTTTCTTGTTTTTCATTTTTTTAGAATATTCTCAAAATTGTATATAAATTTTAGAAACAATAAAAATAAGTTTCTTCAATTCCAACTCTTTGCAAAACATAAATATAGATATTGTTTGATCATTCCTTGAATTCATAGGTGTTAGGGTCATGCAATTCTATTTTTCTTTATTAAAAACGAAGAAACGGAAACAAGAAACGGGAATATTACCAAACGGGCCTTTAATCCTCAACCTTCAAGAAATATTTCTAAAAGTCTCTAAAGTCAATTTGTTGTTAGTGTCACGTAATGTTGATGTGAGAGTTTGAGGGACCAGGTGACATTTGTTGATGTGTTAATTTTAAATGATGTGGCATTTGAGTTAAAAAAAACAAAAAACAGAGAACAAAAGGAAAAACGAAAAGACTGGGAACACCTATATCATCCATGACCATTGAAGCTAGGGTGACCATCTCCACCTAAGCTAGGAAAAACATGCAACTTGGTGACCATCATCTTTTTTTTTTTTTTGATAAGAAACCTTAAATTAGAATAACTCAAAAGAGGAACAGCCTAAGGGCTGGGGGTAGAATCAACCTCACCCAGAGAAGCTATAAAAAGCTTTCCAATTGTGTAAGAAGGTGGAAAGATTGTAATTACAAAAAAAAATTGCTATAGCTAAGGCACCACCAAGAAGTAGTGTGCTGAACACAACTACAAAAAAAATCAAAAGTAGAGTTCATATCTTCAAAGATACGACGATTTTGTTCTCCCCATAAATGCCAAAGAAGAGCTCTTGTAGCGCAATTCCAAATAACCCTTGCTTTTTTGGGAAGAAACCATCCCGTTAGCAACTTGGTGACCATCATCACTGGCAGCCCACGTTAGCAAATGCCAATTCTATGAGTGACACTAACGACAATTTGACTCTATAGACCTCTTAAAACTATTTCTTAAAGGTTGATGCCTAAACTGTCAGTTTTTTAAAATTAGAGACCAAATAGAAACCTACTGGACAAAAATTTATTTTACCCTACAACTAATAATGTAAGGAGTAGCAATATAAGCCTATGAGACAGCAACGTTGTTCAAGAGAGAATCCCTCTGATGAAGTGCAGAACACAAAGTTGTTTCAAAGAGAAAATCCCAAACCCTTATCTTATACAATGAAGGAGAACAAGAAAACAGAGGTTCTGAAACAAATAAATTTGAACTTAATAATATCATATGTCATGGAAATGGACGGTGGAAGAAAAATGTGATGAAAGCTGCACATATTTCTCCAGAAAACAGAAAGCACACCTCAGTAGCCCAAACATAGCATCAGTACTCGCTTGTATAGAAAAAGTGTAGAATGTCAAATTGAAAGAACAAATAGTTCAGTTCAGCAAACCATAACAAGAATTTACAAACTAGGAAAATAAGTAAAGCATCATGATTTTCACATCATAAAGACAGCAAGTTCATTGCCAAATTGAACAGGAGGGATGAATTCTAACCTGTGACGGAGAGATTTGCCAGACCTATAAAAAGAAAATCAAGAAAAATAGACGTATTAGTGAGGAAGCATCAATGAATCTGGTAAGAACACAAATCAAGCCTACAGGAAATCAAATCTAGTCCATCCAAGAGAGGAGACAATTTCAATAGACGAATCTGCATTTGGTAATCAAATAAAAGATTTGAGTAAATATATGCAGCTACATATTATTTTTACATCCATGTTATCAAGCCCTGCCCCAATACTCCACAGAGAAACTTCACACGACGCATGCGCTAACACTAGTTCTAAGAGACATCAGGATGTTAAGCTTTCTCCTATGGGCTCGAACACAAGATCCTTAGGGAATTTATCCAAAATATCTCAAACCCTTGCTACCAAGACTAGCTCTTGGGGGCTATATGCAATCTATATTAAAATTAGTTTTTCTCTTTTTGAGTAATAGGAATAGGTTCATGATAATATTCATTTAAGATACAATTCTACATGGCCATTGCCAATTTAACAGTTCTGGGGCAGGGGTAGACAGTAAGCATGATATATAGAGTTATGTAGAATTGTTTGTCTAGCACAAGGTCTTGAGCTTCTGTAGAATTCTTTCCTAGCTAATAAATTGATACTTCAAAAGCTATTTATGATTGCAAAATATGAAGAGGACCTAACAAAACCTAAATAAATGTTTTCAGAAACACAGAAAGAAAGAACAATTGATGGTGGTTTTACCATTTCATTCGATGTAGGAATGATAACAAATTTAAGCTTATTTACAATTGATGCCCAACTGCATGCTCTTTGATGACTAGAGTACAGTTTTTCTTTTTAAATTTATATTTGTAACTACTACAGAGTACAGACAGGAACTTCACATTTGAGAAAATTTACTAAATAGCAGAGTGGGTCAGCAGCCAGGGAAACAGAAATAAAGAACTCAAAGTGAAAAGTAAAAAACAAATCCAAGTTCATAATTTCAGACCGAATACCACTAAAGATATACTCCAGTCAGAAACCAACAAAAAAGAAATTACAGAAGTATAGCATCCAAAAGGAGTAGTAAATTTCTAACTGTTAACCGAGTGTTGTCACTCCAAAAGGCAGGTAAAGAAAAGCACAAATCCTTGGAAAATTTCCCAACAAAAACCAAGAGTTTAAGCTGAAACGGGCCTTAATCTAGCTTTATTAGGCCCAGTAGGACAGGAAAAACGGAATACAAATCTAAATCTAAGATGGGTTAACTTCTCCAAGCAAGAAAGAAATAGCTCAGAATCCGAACCATCAATGGAAACGGATCAAACCGCAAAATTCTGACAAGGGTATCTGTTAATCTCACTAAATTTCACAACTAAGCGAACAAAACAGAAATGCAAAGTAACCCAGAAGAGAAACTGATTCCTCTGAGAGATAGAGATAAAGAAGATTACAATACCAGGAGCAATCTTCAAAAGGGATAATGGGGGCGGGCAATCGCAGATGCAAGGAGGACACGAGATTTTGGAATCTCCCAATTGAAAAGCTTTCTTGAATCTCCAATACAGAGCCGGTCCACAAACAGCCAACGCAGAAACTACAGCAAAAATCACCAGACAACAACGCAGGCAAGCCCCAGATCGGCGTGACATTTCTCACCCTGATCTTGCCTATTTCTTTTCTTCCTTTTTTTTCTTCCTTTTTTTTCTCCCTTTTCGCTTCTTGTTCTCTCCCTAATTTTCCCCTCTCTCTTTCCGCGTTACTGAGAAAGTGAGGTAGCGAGATCTAGCTGCAGCAGAAAGTTTGAAACCTATGGAAGAATGAAAAGGAAAAAAAATTAAATAAAAACTATAGCTTGCATTTCTTTTTGAGAAGTCGGTGTCTCAAGATTAATGGGCTGCAGGAAGAACACAAAAAAGTTTACCATTTTTTCCTCTCGATTCAGTTGAATTCATTAGCTGTGAGAAGAATAATAATTGAAGCTAACCCCACCATTTGCATCTCTGTGTATGTGATATTATTTTATACTTTTTTTTTTCAAAAATGATATTGTTAAAATAATTGATAATTGATACTTCGGGCTATTTCATAAATTTCTCTGAGCTAGTTGAGTTCTTTTTTTTTTATATGACAAAAAAAAAGGAAATGATTCAACTCAACGAATTCAACCAAGTTAAAGTTTTCACCATGGGATTGAAGGGCTTTGAAACTTACTAAAGGCAAGAGTATAAATAATTTTTTTGAATTACGTTATTACTTACCTTTCTAAGAATTAAATGTTCGAATTTCCTCACCATATTGTATCAAAAATGAAAATTATTCTTACAAAGTAAGAATTTTCTTTTTTTTGATACAACATGTGGATGTGGGAATCTAATTCGGTTGGAGATATATGTCAATATGCTCACTTTGACTGGTAAGAAGTTATTATATTGTCTAGTATAGTTTATATTTCTATTACAATAAACTGGAAGAAATTGAATTATAATGCTTTCTAAGTTTAAATATTATTTCGGTCTATGTACTTTCGGCTTTGGCTCATTTTTGTCTCTCTACTCTCAATTTTTGTTTATTTTAGTCACGTACATCCAACACATCTGTTTTAGTCTTTGAACTTTTAAAAAAGTGACTATTTTGATTCCTTCGTGATCTTTTTTATCTCATTTCTTTCAATCAAAAATTTTAACGTAACACATCATATACAGAATTTCTTAAAAGTTAGCAAATTGGCAATAAAATTAGTTTCCATAATGTATAAAATTTATGTTAAATTTTTTGCAAATAAGTACCAAAAGTGTTGCTTTTTAAAGTCCTGAGACCAAAATGGATATTTTGAAGTTGAAATATAGGGAACAAAATTGACATTTTGAAATTATAATGACTAAAATGAACAAAACTGCCAAAACGAACCTAGCTCAATGGTAATTGACATATATCTCACATTATGAATTCGATACTTCACCCTTAATATTGCCTCCCATAATTTTATACCAAGTGATTATTCTTATTTTTTGGAAATTCAAAGAGAGAAGGGAAAAATAATATATGTTAATTCCTGTGACACAAAATCATAGGAGCTAGGTAAATAATTTGAATTTCTCCATTACTCCTATAGTATTGAAATCATTCTCCAACTCTTCTAAGCCTACACTTCCAAGTATTTTTAAACTATTTCCCTCAAACTTGGTAGGAAAATTTGTGATTATATTACAATGTAAGGGTTTAAAAATGAATTGAGATGTATCAAACATACTTACACACCAAATTTTAGGAATTGAAGTGATACCATTGGAGTTTTTTACCACACAAATGTTTTGAAGGATGTAAAGAGAACACCTTCCACCACCATTGTTTACAATTATGGGATTCAATCTTTTCATTAGAAAGTTACTTAACAAACATCAGATCCATTCACTACTTGAACTCGAATCTCTTGAGTCAACAAGATTCGCGTTAGATGAATTTCTTATCTTGTTTTATGTCTGCATAGTACTCATTGATCCATTGATGAATAATCTCCACTTCTTGCCTCCTCTGCTCAACAAGCCAGTCGGGGTCATCTTTTGTTGCTGACCGAAAATCGACGTGGTGAGCTCCTAATAATGACATTTTGGTTAAGTTTTTACTTGAATAGTTGCAACATGATCGTCGAGAGAAATGTTTTCTCATCCAATTCACATACCTTTCTCTGTGACGATGACAACGATATTGGTCGAAATATTTGTCAGCACCCTGAGAGAGAAGTTTAATTTATCATCACTTAGATCAATGATTGATGAAAGGAAAAAAAATCATCAAATCAGGCATTCTTGGTTAGTCATCAAGGAGAAAGCATTCATCTTGCAAATTGTAAACACATCCTTCTTGAAAGATTTAGTGAAATATTTCAAATATCAGTCTAAAAATTCAACAGGCCACTTTCTAAACATAATCCCATCTTAACTTCAGCTCAGTTTTAGTAAAGTTTCCTGCATATGCGTCATTCGTTGTTCTCGTAAAATAGCAATTAGAACGGTTCGAAAAGCAAAAAATGTTTGTATAAAAACTAACCCTCCTCTGCTCCATGGATCTTTCATTCCATTAGAAAATATGATATTGCTGCCAAATCTTTTCAACACTTGCTCAATTCTCTGCAACAAAACAGACATTGAAAAATGATGGAAACTTGCTCTTAATCATCAGCATAAGGAACTATATCATATTCATAATATTGCCTCTTGATCCCTACATTTTTGTTTTTGTTTTTGTTTTGTGCATGTTCTTATACACAGTAACAAGATCTAAATATGGTAAACGGTAGAAATCTCACTTCGCCACCAAATTCAGTAGTGATCCAATGTGGACGAGGTGAAACTCCATATTTCTTCTCGCAGTCTAGTGCAAATTCTTTGTAATGGAACTCGCTTGGTGGAAACATGCTCTCGTTAGAACACATCATCGGCATCACCATCTCTGTACAAGCCTGCATTTAAGTTAAAGCTGAAGTAAAATTTGGTTTTGCAATCACTTGAACCATCTACAGTGGTTGATGAAATGCATACTTAGCAAGAGTGCGAGTCAATCAAATTGTTGCAAAAAATTTTGAACTAAACATACCTGCCAATTCCAACCACTAAGACCGTGCATATCGGGTCCATTTTCCAGGTTAAAGCATTTCTCTCCATGTGAGTAATTGTAATACAAGCTTGCAGCAGCGAAAACCTTGTCAAGCTTGCTAGTTTCCGGTGCAAATGCGTCGATGATCTTACACATCTTCATCAATCAAAAGCAATGGTGAAAGGTAAAACTTTTGAGATATCTTTAAACTTTCATAGAGAAAAGTTTAGAGTTTGAACGAGTGCAAGTTCCATAAATCTCAGCCTCACCTCTTGTACAGGATAGGCTGGCAATGGCCTCATAAAATTGGCTTCAGTTGGGTAATCTACCATTGTAGTGTAAACAAATGCTGACCATAACCAATCTCGAACCGATGATACCGAATGAAGGTTCCTGTAGTTCCCGGGCCAGAACGGAGCAAACATACAGTAAGTTATTTAACAGTTTTATTCAAATAGGGATGGAGAAGGGAGGCTGCAACTTATCAAAACTCAAAAAATACAAAATTCCTTTTTACTTGCAAGTTCTAAATGTTCTACTTAGTTCAGCCAACCCCTCCTCAGAAAATGCTTGCTCAAGCTCTGCCCAACTCCCTTTGATCACTTCATAGCAATTCAAGCTCGCATCCTGCTAGCATAAAACTAATGAGAAAGAGTAAGTAGAAGATGAAGTGCAATTACATAAAAGAAACTGAGTATCTTTGAGCAGATCCACCGCAGGGACGAAAGAGAGAGACCTTGAAATCCTGGGAAACAGCATCATAGAAGCTCGACCTTGGTATGATATTATCAAAGTGCAAAATGGGTGCTGAAGATGCCAAAGCTCCAATAGTGATATGTGGGTATTTCAGTCTAAACCAGGCTGCTAGCACTGATAGGTCAACCCATTTATAATAAGAAATAGATTAGGTTTCGATGTCGAGAATTAAAAATGGTAAGTTGTCGAAATCTACCATTGTCTTTTCCATCTCTTCAAAACTGTTAGTAAATGTGTCAGAAGTTTTTTATAAACAACAATACCTAAACTCATGTAATCTTACCATATAGTGTTCCTGATTATCATTAGACCACAGATATTTAACCAGAAAAGCCAATTAAAGCATAAAATTTTGACATGTTGGTACATAAGAAGTCCAGGACATACTTTCACTGTCGACCACTGGGGAAAAAGTAACTGTATAGCAATCATAACTAAGCCATTGTATTATAAGCAATCACTTAACAATAACCAGCACCGAGATTTATTACACATGCTTTGTCTTGGTAAATATAAATAGAATACAGTTAAACAGACAGATTTCGGGTGAAAAAATGTCTTATCAAATTGAAAGAACTGAATGTAACATCTGATTTTGGCTTACAACAAGTATACTCACTTATGCCATCAGATAATTAGCAAAGAGAACTAAGATTTTTAAAAATGGTGAACTTTTTGACTTACTTCCTCCATAAGACCCACCAAAGACAACAACAGGGGAAGCCTCAGAAGAGAGGTTTTGCTTCAAACTTCTAATCAAAACTGCATAGTCAGCCAAGGCTTGTTGTGAAGTCAAGTAACCCAATGTTTCTGCCGAGCTATACGAGTCGTTTCCAAACGGCTTCGATTCTCCATAAAATCTATGCTGAACAATAAAACAGGGACAAAACCAATCTAAATTGTTCTATGAAATGCCCAAAAGAAGCTTTGTGTTTCCACTAAACAATAGGAATGAACACCATTCAAATGCACCATTTTCCACAAAATATTTACCACTTCTTGTTAACTATCCTGCAATTCTGTTCTAGCATTTCACAAAATATCAAACACCCAGAACCAGAAACAATACAAATTAACTCTACTTCTATCAATCTCACAAATATGAGGTCTCAAGAAGGCAAAATCAGTTAATATGATAAGATATGCTATGAAAATGGCAAACAAAATAATAGAACGCCTCCCCCCCAACCCCAACCCCACCCCCAAATCCCCATCTATTGTATTCTTTAGAGCAATACTTCGATAAAAACCAGAAGGGCATGGAACTTGGGGGCAATGTCGAGCAAGAAACCAGTATTGGCAGCAAACCAATCGATGTCTCCCTCATTGCCAGTGTAAACGAAGATTGGAGCTCCATTTCGCCAGTACTGAGCATTAATCAGATACTTCTGATAAAATCCTTTGGAGCTCCTTGGCGTGAAGGTGAAGTGGTCCAGCAGCTGAGGATAGTACCGGGTCTCGTAAGGGATCTTTGGCTTCAATCTTGGAGCTTGGTTGAGAGAAGCAAATTGGGAATGGAGTTTTGGGAAAAATATTGGTACTGTAAATGCCATGATAGACAAAGGGTACAGAAACACCAAGAGAAGAACCCCCATTAGACCCATTTCCCCCCTTCTTCTCAAGGTTCCCAACTCCAAAAATGCTGAAAAAAACAGTAGAAGATCAGTGAGATTTTTGCTTGTATTCGTCAGCACCTGATGGAAATGGGGTTTTGAGGTTCAAACATTGGATGATCATGGAGGAGAAGATATCTCTGCAAAATAATGTTCCCATTGACAGAAAAGGCTAAAAGCCAGCGAATGAGATAAAAGAAAATCAAAAGATTTCACTTTCTTTCAACAACAAGAATATAAAGTCTGCCATTTTATGTCATATCAAGGTAAAATGTGCATCACGCTTTGTAATGGAGTGGTGTGTGGGGATGGAATGGAGGTGATAACTGATAGTAGAGGGAAATCTCATCTCTGTAAGCTTTTTCTATCATTACATAAAAAATAATCAAAACTCTACTTTATCTACATTTTAAAGAGTGCTGACTGCTTAGTACAATCGTTAATCTTTAAGATTAGAGAAAAGTGAACACCTCTCTCTTTTTAGAAACTCTATCCTATGGGTTTGTTGATTTTTTGATATCACATGTGTCCGAAGTAACTTACGCCCATTTCGATCATCTGATCCTATAACATTTAGTACCCATAAACTATAGAAATTAATTCATAGAGTAGGTATTCATCCTCGGGTTTGAATTTATAAGCGTGTTATTGAAAACACCCCTATTTTATAAAGTTATGGCTCAAAAGAAACCTTTCATGGGCTCATCGTTTTAATGAATATAGTAAAGTTTGAATTTGGTGCGACTTGGGTTTGATCAGGTGGATAAGTAAGTTATAGAAAGTTGAATTTATATAAATTTATTTAATTTATAAAGTTATAATTTTTAAAAGTAATGTGTAATTCAAGGTATGAATTAACTAAGTTATTAGTAAATTTATAATTTTTATGGATTAAATTCACGTGTCAAATGTAGACTACCATTTACAACTCCAAACAAATTTATAATTTTTATGGATTAAATTCACGTGTCAAATGTAGACTACCATTTACAACTCCAAACTATACAAACTTAATCTCAAACCTAAAAAACCATATTTTTCTCAAGAAGAACACCAGAAACTATATCTAAATTAAGAGTGGTTCAAAAAATAACTTTGACAAAGAATTATGGTTTGAAAAGTTCATTTAAAAAAAGCTCCACTATCAAAAATAAAATTTTATTAGTTAAATTATAAATAGAGCCCTTGAACATTGTTATATCTCTTTAGTTGATTTTGATTCTAATAATAATAAATCTTTATATTTTTATTCTAATAAATTATTATCATTCACATCCTTCTTTTATTACCTCATCGTTGAAACTAACAAATTAATAATTTCGCTTTACAACATTCATAAAATAATAATAATAATAATAATTAAATTAAATTAAGAAAGCCAAATGAAATTCTTTTTAAATAAAAAATTTTCACCACTCTATCGTTATTTTATATCAATTCTATTCGCCATAACTTTTTGTTTTGGATAAAGAGGAAAGAAACACAAAAATAGCCTAAGGGATAGGGGACGAGAAGACCCCTTCCAAAAAGAAAACTAATGAAACAATGCTCTCCAATCTTGAAGGATCATGGAGAGGTTGTAGTTACAAAAGAATTTCGTATTCATATGGCACCACCAAGAGACTGTAATATGTACACTATTACAAAAAGAATCAAAAGACTTAGACTTATCATCAAAAGGACGAATATTCCTTTCCATCCATAGGTTCCAAAGAAACGCTCGAAAAGCACACTTCCACAAAAAATATGCCTTTCCTTTGAGATGCTAACCAGCAAAGCTTTCCATCATCCAATCCTCAACCTTTCTCGGCATACAACCAGTAAACCCAAAAATTTCAAACAGAATCTGTCAACCTTTAGAAGCAAACGTACAATGTAGAAACAAGTGATCTAAAGATTCTGCTTCCCTTAGACAAAGGCAACACACCAACGAGGAAATAGACCAATTTGGGCATTTCTTCTGAAGTCTCTCGGAAGTGTTTAGAGCTCAGTAAGCTAAAGACCAAAGAAAAACCGTCACCTTCTTTGGAATAGAGTCTTTCCAAATAAAATTGATTAGGGGAGCTTGCTTTGGGGAGTCGGTGTCCATTTGCTTCAGCAAAGCTAATTTCGTTGTGAACTGACCATCCCCTCAAAGTGCCAGACCATCTTATCTGGTTCTTTGCCAAGGACAAAAGAGTCCAGCCTCTGTACTAACTTCACCCAACTCTCCATTTCTCTATCAAAAAGACCCCTTCTCAACGCTAGGTCCCATGTCTAGTTCTCCTCATTCCAACAATCTTTGACAGAAGCATTCTATTTTAAGGAAAGAGCAAACATATCCGGGAATTCATGCAGAAGAGGCAAATTTCCAGCCCATTTGTCCATCCAAAAACTTAACCAGTCACCTTGATTTGCTTTGAACACAACCATTTCTTGAAAAGCAGAGAGATTTTTGGCTATATCCAACCAAGGTCTACCTTTTGCCTTTCCTTTGGGAGCTTTTGTCAACCACCCATATTTGTCGACACCATAAATACTAGCAATCACTCTCCTCCAGAGAGCATTTTCCTCCTCCTGAGTAAAACGCCACAGCCACTTCATAAGCAAGGCATTGTTTTTTGGGAGTGAAGATTCAAATTTCATAGTAGCAACCACCTGCCAAGGATAAAATTCTAGTATTTTCCCAACATCGTATGATCCTACGATCTCTCCTAAGCTAGCTCAAATATTCACGATATTAAAAAAAGAAACAATATTAACAAAAATAAAAATAAAAAACTTAATAAAATCATCAAATTCTAAATTGCATGAACAATGTTAATGAAAAACAAGATGTTATCATCAAAATTATAGATCTGATTTATAATTCAATCCACAATTTAAAAAAAAAATTACTCAATTTTATTCCTCAACATGAACATAACTCAATCAGTAACAACAAAAAAATTTGAATCTCYACTCCACGTGTTGTCAAACTCAGAAAATAATAATAATAAATAGGATAAAATACACATTTGGTCCTTGAACTTTGAACAAAGTAACTATTTAGTCCTATATTTTAAAATTTGTTACAATTTAGTCCTTATTCATATTCATAGGTTTAACATCAATCTTTCTATCATATTACAAAAGAAACAAAAAATTGACAAAATATGAAAAATATCAACAAAATATCATTAATATATGCATAATATTAATATTAATCATTTTAAGCTTATTTAGAGATCTAGGCATATCATGTCTATTCTTTTGAGTAATATATCTGGAATCCTCATTGATTCCTTGATTCCTTATTAACAATATTTCAAACACAACGAGTACATTTCAAAATAACTGTTACTCGGGCATTTTTATCCTTGGCCATGAACCTCCCTTGGATTTTTGATTCACGCAGCTCTGATCCAAAATGAAGAAAAAAAGAAAGAAAAAAAGATAAGTTGGTAACTCGAAATAAAATTATGAAATATTTCGTTGCAATCAAATATAGTAATACAATAATTTCTAAATTTAGAATCGCAATACAGTTTTTCATTCAAGTATCTTGTATGATATTGTTGCCCTAACCATCCCATTTTCATTTCCGTTCCATTCTCACTCTTTTATTAATTCAATTGGACCCGACGCTAAGTCCAAGTTTGATTGAGGCATAATATTAATATTAATCATTTTAAGTTTATTTAGAAATAGAAAAATATTTATCTTTTAATTTAAATATTTTTTACGATTTTTTAATTTCTCTAATTTTTATATAAATATCCACAAATATTGATATTTTATCGATATTTTCATAAAATTAAGACCTCTACAATTCTCGTCGTCCTCGACGACGAGGAAGCCAATTTTCTCTCTCATTAAGTTTAGAAGTGATGCCATGAATATGATGGCGACACCCACATTAGCTTGTTTGGCAAGCAAGAATTCGATAGAAAGGTAAAATCCTGTCCCCCACAACTCGGCTTCCACTGATTTCAGACCACACAACCCAAAAGAAAGAAAAAAGAAAAAACCCCTTTTTCTCCTCCATTCCACATCTCCATCTACCAACACCAACAAATCAAAACCTCTCTCACAGAAACTCAACAATGGAGAAAACAGAGATGGAAGTGATGAAGGGCGTAGACCTGAAAAGGTACATGGGTCGGTGGTACGAAATAGCCTCATTTCCCTCCAGGTTCCAGCCCAGAAATGGCGCAAACACAAGGGCCACCTACACGCTGAGAGACGATCGGACGGTGGATGTCCTAAACGAGACCTGGTCCGACGGCAAGAGGGCTTTCATTCAGGGCACTGCCCTTAAGGCTGACCCTGACAGTGATGAAGCCAAGCTCAAAGTTAAATTCTATGTTCCTCCCTTTCTGCCCATCATTCCTGTTGTTGGAGATTACTGGGTTTTACATCTTGATGATGATTACCAGTATGCTCTCATTGGCCAGCCCAGCAGAAGTTACCTCTGGGTACGCCATTGATTTTCCAGCTCCTTCCTCTGCTTCTTGGAACCTGAAAACTTGGAGAAACAGCTGTTGAGTTATATAACATTGGAAGGTTTCTGAAGGGTTCTTTCTTTAATTTCATGGTGTTTTTTTTTTCTTTTTTGACAGATATTGTGCAGGCAGACCCATTTGGATGATGAGATATATAATCAACTGGTGGAGAAAGCTAAGGAACAAGGCTATGATGTGAGCAAGCTTCGCAGGACAACACACACTGAACCTCCACCAGGGGGAGATGAATGTCCTGAAGATACTAAAGGGATATGGTGGATCAAATCTGTGTTTGGGAAATGATCTAGGTTTGGAGAAGAAAGTTGATAAATTTCACCACTTTTTTTGTGTTCAGTGAAGATTTTTGTGCTGGGTGTGGTAGAACTCTTGAAATGAATCCTTTCTTCTTCTGTCTGTATAGTCAGTCTCTTTCAGATATTGTGTTTGCTGAATAGTTTGAATGAAGCTGCATTTAATTTACACAAAGTCTAACTTTGGAGCCTTTCTATGCAAATCTACAACACTTTCAAGTCACTTTTCTGGCAACCAAACAGAAAAAGCGCTTTGGTTGGACATCATTCATTCCAGAAGAGAGATAATTTATCCTAAAACTCTAGTTCGTTTGAAAAGGACTCACTTTTAAATTCTTTTTCCCCCAATACCACTTTAAATCTGCAAAAATATCCCAATCCCCTTACCTGTAAAAATGTCCTACAATAATTGGTTGTCCTCAAGATAGAAGAAGTACATGTGAATATGAACTTATTTTTCCTCTCATGTAATAAGACAGTAATTCAGATTCCAAGAAGTTCATTCAGATTGGGAGAAGCAAAGAAGATGAGATGACAGTTAAAAGCTAAGAAGGTATATAGAGCATAGTTAGTCYCTAGATTTGGTGCCCTTTAGTTAAGTAAACAGTGAGAGTTTCATTTCATCTATAAACCTGGTGAAAGCTGCCACTGAATAGAACTGAAATCAAATTATGTCCCATAATAATTCACTTGTAATTGTTTCTCAGAGTTCAACATGGCACTGTGTCCATGACCTCAGGTTTTGAGCACATAAAATAAAAGGTAAATCAAACTGTGATTTCATATAGAAGAAAAGTTGTTAGCTAGAAGAACTAGCTACACGAATGCTGAAGTTGCAAAAGCCTTACACATTCTGAAGAACTAGCTATAGGAATTCTTGAGTGGATTTGTCATGACTTTTAGAATGGTTAAAAATGTTTTAGTTATTTAAAAATACTTTTAGAAGTTTTCATCATGTTTAGTTACCTTAGGCCTCGGCCAAAAGAGGTTTTGAAAAGCTCAAAAAGACAAGTGCTTTTAAATAAAGTAAAGGGTGAGTTTGAAATGAATGTATTTTTTTTCTTCTTTTTGATATTTTAAAGTGCTTTAGAGTGTTTTGACTTTAGAATTTCTAAAAGCACTTTTAGTCATGTGGCCAAACTCGTGTTTTTCTAAAAATGCTTACTAAAAAATACTTTTCAGAAGCTATACCAAAAACTCACCCGAGTAATAGACTATATTCAAAAGGGGGATTTTTTCATCTATCAACCCCTGCAGTAGCTGCAGAAGTGGACAAAGTCTCATTACTTCTTCTGTCCTTTTTGTGTAAGAATTATTACTAGATCAGCCATAGTCATTCAGTTTCAACTAAAATTCAAGATCAAGTTGAGCTAAATCAATTCCAAACGAGGTTCAAATTAGTTTGCTGAGATTATTTGATTCAGAAAGCGATTACTATTCACTAAATTGAATAATTAAGTGTCAAAATCAATGCATTCTAGAGGACCCAAACCATGGAACTGTAGGTTATTTGAAATTTTATATATTTAATGAATGATTTTGAGGTCACTTTCATGTGAAATAAGTATAAAAATCCGTTCTCGAACGATAAGAAGTATCAAATCATAACGAGACAAATGGGTTGACAAAAAAATGTTTTTTTAGAGAACTAGGATTTCCAATCTGTAGTCTGGACAAAATGTTCTAAAAGATTGGAAAGGATTATATATTACAGATGAAAGATGAAAATTTACCAAGAATTCAGAGCAATCATCTTCTGAAGCTCAGCCTACTCAAATGCACGGCAAGCGCGTCTCTGATATCCTTTCCTCTATCGTCTCCTATCTCGCCATCATAAAGAGGAAACTTCTGCTCCTCACTTAAACAATTTGCTTCTTCTTCTCCTTCTCGATCTTCTCCTTCTAGTTTCTCACTGCACTTGATGAGGAAATTATGCAGCAAACACCCGGTCAAAACAATAAATGGGAAAAAGTCTCTACATCCTTCCTTCCATGGTTTTGACAGAAGCTTCCACCGAGCTTGGAGTCTGCAAAATGCAGTGTTAACTAACCCCATAGCACGGTTATGCGTGGAATTGAATGCTCGCTCCGGGAAACCAGAGCTTTCTTCTTCCTTCAGTTTCACGTATGGCGTCAATAGCCATGGCAAAAGGGGGAAGCAAGAATCGCCAATCAGGTATTGGGGAATGGGCTTTTCATCGTCGAGATTATAGACAGGGCCTTTGAGTAATTCACCAGATTTCTCAATTTCTGCATATAGCTTGCTCTGCCGCAAGATTGTTTCAGGTATTACCGTGCTCGGCCACCCGGCGGAGACATCCAGAAACCTCCCTTCGGCGTCCACCAGTGCCTGAACCAGAAGCGACCCGTTTTTGCCTAGCATCTCGCCGGCTATCCCAAATCTTCTAAGCCCTAAAACCCCACAGCAATTGGGAAGCGAAATCCACCCAAATCCCACCACAATCCGATCAATGTCGGACCGGAGCTCAAGCAAATGCCCCAATTTCTCATTGATAGCCTTACAAACTGCATAAAACGAGCGGCAAGCGTCGGCAGAATCGATCCCAAACCGTCTTCCAACCGCCTTGTAGCTCGCGCCATGCGCCAATCGAAAAAGCGCAGCGGCTAAAGCACAGTCGGGGGCAACGGAAGGAGACGAGGAGCTTTCAATCGGGGAGAGGAGACGAAGGAGGAGTGAGAACGACGATTTCGACATGCGGAAGGAGAAATTCCACCTAGGATCACAGTCCACCTCCGACGTCGCAGAGAGGAAGCGCTGGAACCAGCATTGCCGCGGCGGTGGAGGCGGAGGTAGCCGCGGAGGCGGCCGCGGCGGCGGATGTAGGGCAAGTTTGGGGAGGCGAGGAGCGAGGGCTTGGAGAGAGGATGATGTAGAAGAGATGAGCGATTCAAGGGCGAGGGTTTGAGAGGGAAGAAGGTGGAGATCGTTGTGAGAGAGAAATGAGTGAGCGGAAGAGATGGTGGTTTCGATGAGAGTTACCAGTTGCTGGTTCAGGTGGCTCTGCCGGTCGGACTTCTTGGCCTTGCTTTTGGTAGCGGCGGCGTTCACGGCGGCGTTTCTGGTGACTCTCCTATCGCCGCCGACTCCTCCGGCGGCCATGGCGAAGAGGCGAAGCGTAGCACAGAGAAGCACACAAGTCACTTTGAAATTGAATCTCTCCGTCCTTTCACCTTTGTACGAAAAATGAGAACTTTTTTTTTTCTTTTTGCACATTTTTAAATAGTGCCTTGAGAAAAGTGATTGGTTTTAAAATAAATTCTAAATCAAATATATGTTTTTTTAATAGTACTCAGATTAAGAATTCTTATTTAAAAATAATAATAATAAATAAATAAATAAAAATTTGATTGAGAAGCTACCAGTTGGAATCCTTCCATTCCACTTTGAAGTTACTACCTATATGATAAGTTTTTTAAAAAATTGGGTGTTACCTTTGTGCTTAGTCCAAATGAGTGTTAATGGTCAGAATTATATGTAAACTTACATGCACATACTTTAAATACTATAAATTATTTAAAGGAACTAGAATAATGTAGTTAATAATTCTATATTATTAGATATATAAAATTATTAGATCTATTTTACGTTTTATTTTATTTTATTTATTTTCTAATACAAAATTTAAACTCATGACCTATAAGTYAGAAACATGTGTCAAATTTTACGTTTTATAAAGTATAAAGATTTATTATTAGATATATAAAGTTATTAAATCTATTTTATTATATATTATAATATTAGTTTAGATGCCTATTCTTACTCGTCAAGTCAAACCAAACTTCTTTCTCCGAGTCCACAAGCTTTTTCTCCAAGAATTTAAACTTGATATTCAAGTACCGAGACTTGTTGTACAAGTCCAAATGGACTATAAAAACCAATGTGTGGCAAGCATAGGGTATATGAAGTGTGTAATAGGATTGAAGAAAATTCAAAGCAATATAATTCTACTTCTATATTCTCTCGCTATTTTATTTCGATATTGTTTTCTTTGTTATTAGTTCCCTTCTAAAGTTTAATGATTTATTTATTTATTTTGTTAAATTTTATTTTCTTTGAAAAGAACGATCCAAAATGGAAATTTGCAATCTGATGAATATTTATTGAAGTCGAGATTGTTGGATAGGCTTCGGTGCGGTTTGACGCAGCGCAGTGGGCAATATCAAAATGGCCCAATTCCATTTCCATGGAAATTCGAAAACTTGACGATAAAGAAAAGTTCCTCGTACCTTCTTCTTAACTCTCTTCTCAGTCTCACACATACCCACCTTCATTTTTCGCCATCTTCTCTCGCGTTTATTCGCTGTTTTCTCCTAAAGGATCAAACACCCAGTCACTGATTTTCCCACTCCCCCAAGTCTCGATTATTCTCGTCAATTTTTATGGCAAAACTGAAGATTTCAGGGCCATGGGCTGGTGTGTTGGAGGTGGAGCTGGACAATTGGACTGTGCCAATGTTGAGGGAAGAAGTAGCAAGGCGATCAAACTGTGGAATTGAGTCGATTAATTTGATATGCGGTGGTAGAGTTTTGAAAGATGGCGATGGAAGCGAGAAGCTGATCAATTTGGGTGTTAAGAACAACTCTAGGATTCTTGCCAGGCGGGTCTCTACTGAGGAGGGCAAGTCACTTAAGGATGAGTTGATGGCTGAGGAAGAACGCTCTACCAGGCTCGCTCGAGTCAAGTAATTCTTTCACTTTTTTACTTCAATAAAGACGTTTATTGGATGCCTGTAGCTTAATTTGACTGAAAATTGAGTTTATTCAGATACCAATGCATTATGTGTTCATTTGATTTTGGGATGATTAGTTTTTAGAATTTTCATGGTCGGTCCCTGTGCTTGTTACTTCTATGAAGAAATTGGTCAAATTTTGTCGAAGCTTTTTGGGTCAAATGGGTTTGCTTTTCACAGTCATCTCTTAACTATTTTTTTGTAAAATATAACAATGGAAGTTGGATTTTGGATTACTGCTCGAAGTAAAAGATCATATTGGGTACGTATGAATAAAACCAGACTCCTAAACTTCCCTATGAAGTTGAAGACTGGTGTGGTTGTGTAACAATATGCTTTGTTGTACGATTTTGGCTCTCTTTATAACTTCAATTTTTTTTTTTTAAGACCTGCTTTGATCTTGGAAGCTTTTAGTTCAGCAATGAAAAGTAATTTTCATTTAGAGTTGGGATATGGTAGAATGCTAATCAAATGACAATCAACTTTTGGAGTATATTCTTCCCCATGGGAGGGCCATGAGTAATTGTGAAGATTTTAAGGACATTTTCTTCTGTGGTAGCTGGTTGTCAGTCTCATATTGTACTCATGTCAAGTGTAGATAGGCATGTAGGCTGTATGATAATTTCTGATTTCAATGTCTAATACTTTGTTTGGATTCTATCTTATCTGCTAGCATCTTCTCTAAACTTTCAGGGCAGCTGCCACTGCTCTAGCCAAGAGGCATGCTAATGGTTTCCTCCCTGTTGAAGATTTCAATATAGAACTTGAGGATCAAAGTGGACAGAAAGTTCATATGGGGTCTGAAACTGACCAAAGGTAGGGATAAAATCATGTTTCCTTCTTGTCAAATAAAATGTAAGAAATTAATTTGTTGCTGAGGATTTAAAGTCTTCTTTGGTCCTAAAATTTTGAGGCAAAATTGAATTCACATTCTACAGGGCAATCATGATGGGGTTGATGCTTCATGCAAACGCAAAACAGCTTATAAAAAAGGGAAATTACAAAGAAGCATTAGAAGTACTCGTCATGGGAGAGGTCTGTTGCCGGTTGATCACTTTAAATGATGTTAGGCATTAGCTATGAAAAATTTTAGTTGTTTCGCCCTTTTTGAAGATCCAGAAATAATTTAAGACGAACACAAAGATTAAAGCTTTTATCAATATCGACACCTCCCTCGAACGAAAAGGAAAAGATCAAATATAGCACCACAGTATAATTGATCTGCTGCATACATTTCTTTATTTCTGTTATGGTTGACAACTAATTTTGAAGTGCTCTGCCTTAATGGTCTTTATTTATTGACCAATGGTTCCAAATTCTAATTCCCATGACTGATTTTTTAAGGTCATTTTCTAACTTTGGATCAGTTCGATCATTTAGCTTGCAATGATTTTCAATATCAATTCTCCTTTTGTTTTCTTTCTTTACCTCTAAATTGTAGATGCTAAAACATGGTTTATGGTTTTATTATCCTAAGTTGTTATGCAAGATAATTGGTATCAGTTAAATTTTATTTGTTATGAGAGAATACTAATCAATGTGAATTCCTTTCTTGTAGGAGGCTTTCTCTCTTTGCAATCCAAAAGTCATTGAGGTAAATGACTCAATCTTTAACCTTGTTAGGTTTTTCTTCCCTGATTGATTGATTCTGCTCCCCCCTCCCCCCTAACTATTCGTTTATAACATTTCAACAAAATTTCGAATCAGACCTTTTTAAATTTATTATTCGTTAATTTGAGGCTGTTTTTGGTGCTGTCTACAGTTGTGATTCGATTTGAGGCATTGATGCTATGTGAGAATATACAAATTAATGATTTAGGGTAGTTGTTAGCCATAGCCTTTTCTTCTCCATGTCACCGAAGGTGGTGTTTCCATCAGGGTTTCTTAAATGCAGTTCTTAATGTTTTTCAACTCCTTGAGAATGTTTGATTTTCTTTCTGACAATTATGACTTTTCCTTTCTACCAGTTTGTTGACAACGTCCCGATACTCCAAATAGACATGGTGTGGTGCTATTTCATGCTAAAAGACATCAAGTGGCTCTCGGAGGCAGGACTACGCCTTGCGAAGGCTAGAGAAGGAATCGAACGAGCTCATGGGAAGGATTCTTCCCGTGTTCGACTCCTTCAAGCTGGTTGCCATCCCGAGCTTGCCTTGTAAGTGACTGCATTTATTGCCAATAGTTGGAGGGCGTGGTTTCCAGATTAAAGCTAATCACATTCTGTTATCATGTCAGACATTTGAGACTGGAGCTGCTGGAAGGGGTGGCTGCATACCATAGCTGTCAGTTTGATAAGGCTCAAAAGGCAATCAACTCGGCACAAGCAAAATATTTTCAGGTTAGTTTATCACATTACGGAATTAGTTGGATCGAGCTGAGGTATAATATATGTGAGGTAATTTGGTTTTATTGAATGCCTGCACTATAGTTGTAGTAATACCTATAGTTTCATTTTGATATTTACAGATGCCCTCTTGTGTTACTATGCAATTGGTGTTGTGTTTGGCATGTCTTTTAAAGTCCACGTGGAGGATTAAAAGTGTTTCTTGTAAAAATTGGTTGTGTTTTGGTTTAATTTAAAAAGTGCTTTAAATTTTTAACCCATTAAAATACTTTCTAAAATTTTCGATAATCAGAAGTAGTTTGAAAAATTCTAAACACATATAAAAAATACTCGAGCGTTTTTAGACAAAGCATTTATTTAGTGCTTACAAAATAAATGTTTCACTCAACAACACTTTTTCCAAAAGCATCCCAAACTAACACTGACCCTAAGAACAAACTGTCTTCAAATTTCAGCTACAAGTGCCAGACGAAGCATTATCACTTGTTATGAGTATGGGCTTTGAGGAAAGAGAAGCAAAGAGCGCACTGCGTATGTGCCATCAAGATGTAGCAAATGCTGTTGATTTTCTTGTTGGGGAAAGGGCAAAGAGAGAGAAAAAACGGGAAGAAGATATTCAACGCGAGAAGGAAATTGAGCAAGTGTTCTTAGCAAAACTGACTTCTATTTTCGTCTGGTAGGTTACATTCGATCTATAATATTAATAACCAGTATAAAATTTTCAGGGAGCAGAAACGCTATGGAATGACACCCTCCAAGAAGGCTGTTGATCTTCAGAGATTGAAAGAATTGGTATCTATAATAGGGTAAGTAGACTAACCAATATTGTTCAAAATGACAGAAGAAACGATCTTTGCATGTGATAACAAAGGCCTGGATTAGTAAGAGTCGTGTTGTGACTACTTCTCATGAAGACTTTCCATGAAATGGTCTACATAGTCTTTTAGGTTCTAGCTTCACTCGTTTTCGCCCGTTTCACAATGTTCTTCTCTATGTATTTTGCAAGGAAAAGTTAAAGGTAGGCTGGGTAGTCTTATGAGTTTAGAGCATCATGGATTGGTTTTGAAGAATGCCATCAGATTCTTATTCGATATGTCCCTTTCTACAGAAGGGAAATGTCTTTGGAAATGTCATTAATATTATTTTTCATGATCTTGAAATATCCATGGATACATGCTCAGCCAGTAAGATAGACAAGACTCGAGCCTAATATTCAAGGTTTGATTACATCTTTAGTAGATTCCTCCAATACTTGTCTTTCTATACCTACAATGAATCTTGTCTATCTTCCCGGATAGTCTGTTTGGAGCTGGAGGCACAGCAAATTCTGACTAAACGTGGTCATCTTGTAAGTGGGTGGTCAAGGTAATTTTGAGCCAATGCATTTTAAAGCAGGCAAATCTTGGTTTTAGAAAGGGACTCGGCACATACATTTGATATTTCGGTTTTTTCGGGTTGAAGCCTGACCTGGTAGACTTCTTAATGCTTAATGTTATTGATACGTTTTCCAGCTCACTTGGGAGGTTTAATTTAATGGCTTTGCAGCTCATCATCAGACAGATGTTTTCAATATATATTTTGTACCGTTGAGCTTCTTAAATTAAATTGTTTGGCAAACCATGGTATTCATTATGATAGAGCTTTCATCAATTGAGGTGAAATTGAGATGTTCAATATGAGCATTCTTGTAGTCATCATTCAAGGTGAAACTAACTTGGTTTTGCAGATATGAGAGGGAGTTAGCTGCTGAGGCCCTGAGAAGAAACGAGAATGACTTTCAGAAAGCATTGGACGATTTGACAAATCCAGAAACTAACTCTCTTATACAGGTGTCTTGAGTTTTGGATTGTATCCATAGTGTGAGTTGTTCTTTTTTTATTGAACTTCCATAGTGCTAAATCCCTGTCATCTGTGATTCTGTAGAACACTATTGAGTCGAGGAAAAGGAAACGACAACGTCAAACTGCAGATTCTACAGTTGATACACTTGTTCGCATGGGTTTCGATAGAACAAAAGGTCTCTATCTCTGAACAAGATGTTATTTTTAACAGGTTTCAAGACAGGATGTGTTTGATTGAACTAGTGATGCTGCTCTAACTTTAAATTTGTTATTTGTGTGCAGCCGTTGCAGCCTCTCAGGCTGCTGGTTCCTTAGAGCAAGCACTTCATCTATTATCACTTCCTGAGACAAATACTACGGTCGATGGGCAACCCGACTCTGCCTTTGCAGCCGTGGCTTTTGAGGGTGCAAATTCCTCCCTCTCAAACATTGATGGAAAAGAAGACATGTTAGACAACTTTGATGACGGGGAAGGCCCTTCCACTGCTGAAGAAGAACGAGACTCGGAGATGGAAAGCAAACTTGCCATGGAACTCAATGGTGCTACTGCCGTATCAGATTATGACATGGACGTAACAAAAGAAGGCGAAGCCATAACCGAGTACTTGGTTTTCTTGGATTCAGTGGAGAATCTTGAGAAAGCTTAAGAAATGCTTTAGGAGGGTTTATGTGGTGTAAATAATATTATGTTAGATTCTAAATTTGGTTTGCTTCCTGTTAGTAAAAGACGTACCACTTAGAGACGAAACTATCCTTGGAAGAGTTCTAGGCTGCAACTGGAACAAGATTTAGTAATGTATATCAATTAGCTAACTTTGAATTGAAAAAAACGTGGGAATTATTCTCATCGTTGCCCTGAGATTGTCAATAAGTTGCGAAACTGACCAATATCAAATATTTTGTAAGATGGATAGTCAATTTCATTCATAAGATCAATCGAAAATTGATATAAGATTATATACATCTTGTAATTGATCAGAATATTGATCGAAGTCAATTGGAATACTTGCGCATTTACTGCATCCATTTTTGTGCTGACCACCTTTAGTTTTTCGAGAAATAGAAAAGAAAAATAACTCAATTTTTACATTTCTATATTCTACCTATAAACAATTTAAAGGTGATCAGCAAAAAATGGATGCTAGCAAGTAAGTGCCAAATATTCTTCAGAAAGCCGCTATAGTGAAAAGGTCTAAAGAGAGACAGATACATTTTTCAATTATAATTAGGAAAAAAAAAAAGAATTGGAAGATGTATCTCAAGAACAATACCACTATAAGTTTCCTTTTAAACAATTAGGCAGTTGTTAGCTCTCCTTCACATCGAGAAGAGAGGTGTGGCCAAGTAGGACCACATCTTGTAATATACACAGAAAAATATTACAATAACATATCTAAAAAAACAAACCAAGGTATTCTCAAAATGCCAGTGGAAATTCCTGTCAAACAAATAATAAATCTGCAGTTTCAAAGGTTATGCCTAGATATGGAAGGGCATCTACAAGTAGAACTTGGAATCTAAATTACCAGAATGGGAGCCTTGCCAAAATTATGTTCACTTTATATACAAGCGGCCAGTTCCATGATCTTCACAGAAGAAGTTCCATTCCAGATACCTTCCATTTTTTACACCTCACGAGTGCCAAAAACCTGTATAAATAACAGCGTATCCGAAATCAAGTACTCTGCAATAAGTTTCAGAGATTTCACGAGGAAAGGAGCATGAAAAATCATAATTGGACATTTGAATCTAATGTTTAATATATTGACATGATACAAAGCACTAACTCCAGGATCACTTAAACAATAATAAGCATCATGAGGCTGCTACTGAGCGCGTTCGCCCAAGGCCGAGACCTAAGCCCAATGGGGCACCATCATTTTTAGCTTTTCCATGGTTACTGTGACTACAATTTGAAGAATGAGTATGGGCGTGATGGCTAGTTGTTTTCTTAGAATTCACATTTATTGCTATGTGGCTGTTTCCAGTGCTGTGACGAGCATGAGTATCCCCATTTTGCAGGATCGAATTCATCGGCACAGCCATTGCTTCCATCTCCTCAGAATGTGACGATCCTTCGATATACTCCACGTCTTCATTGTATCCCTTAATCAGAAAATCTGAACAGTTCTTCCTGATCCCATGATCATATGGGTTCCTAAACCGACCTCCAGAGCTACGCAGATAACTATACCGCATAACATTAGCCATTTCGTTTGTGGTAATATTACGAGATATCTGGTGACATCAAGGCAAAAATTCCATTAGTAAGGACCAAAATGGAATTAAAAACACAAGCAAAGCACGCGAGAAACATGTCAAATTTTACACGTATCAGAAATCCATAAATGTAGAAATACCTGAGATGCTTGGACGATTGTTAAGACTGCCACACCAAAGAAGAGGAAGAAATCAACAACGAGAAACGATATAGCACCAACATGATGATTACCAGTATGGTTAATCCAAGCTCCAAAAGATGATGGAGAGGATGGATCGGTTACGACTCCTGATAAAGTTATTTATTGTCAAATAATGAGCATTGCACATGGAACTTCACCATACTGATTACAGACATAACTCAACTTCAAAGTTGTTTAGAAACATACTTGTTATAGTAACTGCTCCAGTGATCAACATTGCTGAAACTTCTAGAATGAGGAATACAAAGAAATCCCATTTGTTTTTCTGTATCAAATAATGATTATTCTAATTAAACCAAAGATTGCATCAATCTATCGAATTTAAAAGCATAAATATGAAGAAGACAGCCACCCTGCAATGTTTTTCCAAAAGTGGTGGTGAGAATTTGAAGCATCTGTTCCTAATAGTTCTTTGATTTGCACAAGTGCTATTTTATAGACTATACCACGCAGATTACGATTATTAATTTATCCAGAATAAGTATATACTTAGCTAAACAAAAGAAATTCTGGATTCAAGAGGTTCGAAGAAGGAACTTCAAAAAAAGTGCAATCTTCATATTGGATTTTATGATTGGAGTGTATAAAACAAAATCTTTAAGATAAACTTTAAGTTTAGATAAAAGCGTCCCGTGTAAAATTTTTCATTTACTGGTCATGAAAGTAAAAGCCGCAGCTTAGCTCTTTATATTTTTCATCTTGATACATCTTTACTTGATAACTATCAAGTCAATTAGGGGGTTGTTTGTAGCTCCTTCGGCTGCTAGTTGGGAGGTCCCCTCATCCTTCTGTAACTTTTATTTTTAGTTTAATTATGGTTTCTTTTTCACTACTAAAATGAAGCAACCAACGTGGAAAAATTCAGTAATAACTGATAATGTACCTTGCCAATACAATTGGATACCCAAGGGCAGTGATGGTCGAATTGTTCCACGCACCGATTACAAGTTGAACAATGCTTTGCACGGAGAGGCCTCACAATCTGGGCAAGGTACCAAATCAAATTAAACATGTACTTAAAAAAAATCAACTATTCTAAAAGAAATTAGGAAAAAAAATCAGAACACAATCTTGAGAAATCAGAAGCGGATTGCACCTTGCAAGTAGCACAGAGCTGAGACCAATTCCCAGCCAGCAAAGCCGGGTTGTTGATCTCAATCTTCAACAAAGGCTCCTAATGAAAGATTTAGGAACATAAACAAGTTCAGCTTTCACCTTCGTCATAAATAAAAAAGTACAGAAAGAAGATTGCATAATTGTAACAATATAAGAGGAAATCTTTTATTCAACAGAAACAAATGCAGAAAGACGTGGAAAGAAGTATGGACAGTAAATTAAACTGCCATCGAAACATAATAGTTCCTCTAAAAATTCACTGTTGTCACGGAGGCTTAGAGGAAAATAAATAAACGCACATCATCTTTCATATTCTGAGGATCATGGTCATGATGCACGTTCGTCCTAATGTAACCTGGATCTTTGCTGCAGATTAATCAAGCAAAATGAACATGTTATCAGCAAACATAAATCGAGCTCCACAGTTAAAATCTATACCTATATAATAACTAAAAGAAAGGATTTTCTTAAGGGAAAATACGCATACCTGCTACATCTATAAAACATGAGCAGACCTGTAGTTGCTAGAAAAACGCCCATCCATGCAATAAAACCAAAGCCAGCCGTTAACTTTGGCAAATTTGATGCTGTGGAAAAATGCAAAACAGATCAGATTAATTCATTACAAAAACAAAGAGGACTACAGACTTGACTTACACATAAAGTTATTGGAAATACCTAAAATGACAGAACGAATATATGTCACCAGCAACAGAAAGATTAAACCCCAAAGTACAGGGGCAAGTCCCAGTTTTGAAAATTTTCCGAGGTGGCTGTTTCCATCACAACGTTTGTCAAGCAGCCTTCTAGCATTTCCCTGAAGAATCCAAAAAGCAGAAAAATGCAAGTCTTTTTTGTATAAGAAACTAATTTTTGTCAAAGGAAACCGTTTAAACGAAAAAGAAGGATAAGGAATCTTATATAAATAGAAGAAATAATTAAAATATGTACACACCAATTAAGAATGATTAAAAAACCCACTGAAACAGAACCATCTTTCAGCTACTAGCCTACTATGTCATACTCATCATACCAAAAGGGAAGCCAAGAAAAGAACTCGGGAGTCTGGACCACACATCAAACCTATCTCAACTAAATCCTTCACTTTCTTCTGTTTCAAGTACCCCAGAGAGTTGCCATAATAGCACAATCAAATGAAGTACCCCTTCTCTTAGCCCTCCTCAAGCTTTAGAAAAATTCTCAAAAAAAATAATAAAAATAAAAATAACCCCAAATTTGTAAAACAAGAGAAATATTACAACCAAAGAACTCTAGTTTAACCTTGCAAGTTGTGAAGCCATTTCCTTCTTCATCGTGCCAGCGCTGGAATTTCCCAACATTTTATGTCTTATACCCACATTATAACACAATATCTAAAGCTGGCTTAATAAAAAATTAACATGGTAACTTGTAACATACTAACATTCGACAGTTTTGGATATAATACAGAACACAACTACATTACAATGACGAGCACAAACTAGATAAATATTTTAAAAAGAAATAAATGGAAAGAAAATAATCGTTAAATCTTGATATGATAGCCCTTCGACTACTAATGTAGTGTCTACTGATTGGGTCTTGAATTAGATTGAATAGACAGATAGGGAATCTAATTTCATTTTTAGTTACGGAAAGGAGGAAGATACTTTATATCCGGACTCATGAAAGTATCTGAGTGCTCGAGCATTTAATCAATATTATATTGACTGGATAATTGGCTTTTTTTTAATCTTAAAAAAAGTGATATTAAGTAAAAAAAAAAATTCTTTCTTTTCGATAAGCTCTAGTCACGCATGTAATAGGCCATGCCATTTAAGAAAGGAAAAAAGGGCAGATATATTAAGAAGAGTGAAAGGAGACAAAATGGTGGTCTTTAAAGTCATATCAATTACAAGCATGCCCCCCCAACATCCAACGTAATCCCAGAGCAAGAGAAATATTAGCAACTAATTAATCAAAAATCTAAAGTTTCCACACGGAAAACACAAAAAAAATTGCAAATGTGAAAACAATCAAGAACAATACTTCAAGATTAGTAAGCTTTTAATCACCGCAGAAGAATAGTGAGAAGGATGGTGAATAAATGAAGAAACTACTTCACTGTAACTAAAGTTACTTGGAAAAAAAAAAGAAAGAAAGAAAGAAACTGGTTCGGTTTCAACTTACAAGAAAAAATGCAACTTGTCTGTGGTTCTTGTCAGAAGCAAGTTGTGCTGGCGTAAGGCCAGTATTATCAGTCACCACTAGATCTTCTTTCTTTCCAGCTTGTACTAATACAGTGCATGCCTCTAAGTTGCCCCTAATAGCTGCCCAATGAAGAGGAGTGCAACCTGAAATAACAAAGAGAAGAATTCATGAGCCTTAAACTGTTGTTCTTCAAAAAAAAAAAAAATTAAAAAGGACGCTTTCACATTATATTTAAACTAGAAGGCATAGATATTTTCTTAAGTGAAGCCTATTAAGCCCCCAAACATTACCTTCCTTATCTTGGCGTCCTCGATATGCATCCAAAAACAAGAGAAGTCGTATACAATCAGCAAAACCTTTATACGCGGCCCTAAGAGAACCATGTAAAGAATCAAAAGGGGGAGAATTATAGTTTCTAAAAAAACTTGAAAGAATATGTATCAAAAGAGATTTATTTAGCACATCGTTAATTGAGTTTGGATAGGAAATAGTAACAAGTGCACCAAATGGAGCAAAATGTTCAAGACCGTATCAAAATGAGGATTACCTATTATATTACAACTACGAAACAAATAGGATGAGAAACATAAAACCCAATAGAAAGTAAGATATCATAAACAATATCAAGACATAAATCATATTCATAAGCACCATATTGATGCATAAATACATTGACAACTTGAAGCATTGTAAAAAAACTAATACCAGTGTAAAGGGCTTCTCCCATCATTGTCTGGAACGTCAGGGTCCGCATTCCATTTTGAAACAATATGATAGAGAAAAGCCGTCTGACCATATTGAGCTGCAACATGGGTCGTCTGCAATCAAGTGCATATAGTTGAAATCAGTATGCTAAAAGTGACTTGCTCGTTTCCAGTTCAAAAGAAAAGTGACTTGCATTTGTACTGACTATTAACCTTCTACCTTGAAAATGCATGAAAATTATTCTTACATCAAGGTTATTTATTTCTCACACAATTTGCAGGCATTTTCAACAACTCAGATTCCTGTCCATGTGTTAACTATTGTCTTATTGAACACTGAGACCATACTAATGCTTTATGTTGCACGAAAATATTATAATGCATCTTCCTAACCCTATAAATTCATGAACGGGGGAACATTAAAGAAATTACACAATCATTTCATTCCTGGAAAGGAAATAAAACCAACCTGATAGCCATACATATCAGCAGCATTGACCATAGCTCCCTCTTGGAGTAAAACCTCAGCAACCTGGATGGCTCCACGAACAGCACTCCAATGTAAGGCTGTCTGTGCAGTATGATCCGCTGCATTCACGTCACCTCCATGCTGGAAATGATGCAACACCAAATTTACTGGACAATTGATATAAATGACAAGAAAAAATTTAAATCTTGTGCCTCCGTTCAATGCGTGTAAAAAATTTTCTAAAGTCCCTGAAATTGCCTCGCTGATCCCAATTCTTTTTCAGAGGGGAGATACAAACTGGAGCGAAGTTAAGTTCACAGCAACCAGATAGCAAATCGAAACTCAAGTCCCCATTCATATCTTTGGCTCGTCTTGTCGACAACCGAAAATCAACACTTCCCAAAAATTTGATCTAGAAACTACCATTCATTAACTCACTTAAATAAAACAAAGGCAGTAAAAGAGCAAGCCGATCCTCGATTACACAATACAGTTGCTCGAAATCCCAATGGCAGAAAAGATCGAGTCACGGACATTAGAAAAAAAAAACGTAGATTGGAAAGACAAACCTCACCTCAATGATGTAACGAGCAGCGGCAGTGCGATTATTAAGAGCAGCCCACTGAAGTGCATAGTAGCCAAGGCCATCGGGCTCAGAAACCGAGCAACCCTCGCACTCCACCAATCTCTGCAGCTTCTCCAAATCGCCGTAAGCCGCAGCCGTGTAAACATCGTTCCGCAAGCTTTCGTCGCCCTCCCCATTGGCAGTGGAAGCAGAAGCAGAAGCAGAAGCAGAAGCAGCAGTCTGCGAAGGTTCGTGATCCCGCGATTGAACCTCCTCCACGACCTCTATCTCCGAAGACATGTTCCAATGAAAAAAAATAGGTTATAAATTAGGAATTTTGGGATGATGAATCCGGTGGGTAGGGTTGAGATGGCACACAAGATCGGTAGGATTTGAACGAATGGGTTCGCTGGATTGGATACGAAATTGAAGATCAAAATAATGGGAATTGAGGAGATGGGCTTTTAGGGTTTTTCCGGGAGAGAAAGCCGAAGCCAAGGGGGGGAAGCCAAGGGGACCGGTCGTCGCCGTCCGTCAGCGTTGACTGTGTAACGGAGGAGATAGAGAGAGAAAATCCAAGCCGTCTATGGATTGCCTAGTTTTATCAGAAAACCAATATCCATTCATTTCTCTTTTTCATTATTAGTTCTCTTATCATTTAGTTAATTTTCAAAAATAATGAAACATTTTCTGAAATTTATGGATTTATTACCCAAAGAATTGAAATGCCAAAGTTCTATTAAACATATAAATCAATTTTGTATTTAATGAATTTGTAAACTTTTAAAAATATTGGGTGGGTTAAGATTTAGATACAAAATTAAAAGTTTTGATTAGACTTATTATAATCTAATTAAAAACAAGATTTAATGTTTAGAATGGTGTAATTTTAGGAATAGGACTCAACTTTTAATTTAACCAAAACACATGGATTTCAAATTATATAAATATATATATATATATACATTCATGAATTTGTCATTTGTTTAACAAATGTTTTTATTATTTGGAAAGTTTCAATACTATCTTTCATTTTTTATAACGGTTTTAAAAATATATTTTGAGCAAATATTCGTTCATACTTTGAACCAAAAGTTAACGTGGTGTAATCTGAAATAACATGGAAGTTTGTTTGGATTAAGTTTGAAAATAGAGAAAATGTCTGACATTTTCTTCTTTAAACTGTTGAGATGAAATTGAGTAGACAATGGAGAAGCAAAACTCTTTTGACAATATAGAAATAAGTTTTTAGGGCACAATTGAGACGTTAATTAATTGTCACATAGATTCGGCCACGTTAACTTTTTGTTCAAAATATCAATGGATATTTGCTTAAATGTATTTTTTAAATATCTATGAAATGTGAAAGGTAGTATTCGTATCCAGATAGGAGTAATTTTTAAATAAATGATAAATTTTAGGTTTTTTTTTGTAATTTAGCCTTTATATTCAACCTAAAGAAAATAGATATGCTGAATTAAATATTTAATGTGAACCTTGTCAAAAAAAAAAGAATATTTGATTTGAACAATTGATCATATTAATACTTTTCTGATCGTATATATTTTAATCCGTTGTAGATTAAATTCGACTCATTAAATTAAATATGTGAACAAAAAAACTAAATTTTCTAAATAAAATTAGTATCTGTCGGTTGGTAAAGGGTCAAAATAATGTACTTTGATTCTCTTACAAGGGATTAAATTGTAATGTCAATTATTTTAATCCGATTTGTTTTTTTTTTATTTGATTATTATTGTTGGGTATGATAATAAACTATAATGCTAGTTGGTTGAACATTTTCAAGGAAAAAGAAAAACTAGCTGGTTGAACTAAACAAAAGCAATATCAGCAGTAATTAAAATACATCTCAAATCAATAAATTGTGAGTTCGACCTCTTACTTTGAAGAAAGAAATATATGTCAATTATCGATGAACTGTGTTCATGTTGGTCGCATATTGTTGTCGTCGAACTAAAAAAAATCTAAGATATAATGTTGGTTTGATTGTACCTTACCCTTACGAGGAAATTACAATAAATGATATAAAATAAATATGTATTTATAAAAATATCATTACATTTTACTTTTTTAAATGTCACAAAAGTGACTTTTTGTTGGTCTTATGTACAAAAGTGGGGTGGAGATTTGAACTCATGACCTATCTTTGTCATGG